GGGGAGGCCGGGCTCGGGGCCGCTCGGGGGTAAACGCAGGAACTCGGGCAGCACCAGGTCTTCCTTCCTCAGCAGCCCGCGCTGGTCGTCGGCCCTGTTGCTCTGAGCCTTGGAAATAAGCTCAAAAAACGCTGTTGGGAGGAAACCCCGTGGACCGAGTGTGAGAGCCTCACCCTCCGCCTGCAGCCGCAGTGCACGTCTGGAAAGTTCTCTCTCGCTGTCCTACTGCCTTCGGACTGCAGGCTGCGGCCAGGGGTCCTGCACCCCTAGCACCTCGGCCCACAGAACTGCGGGAAGGCCCAGGCTTCTAGAACAATCCAAAGCAGCCCTAAGCCTCCCCGAAAATCGGGGTGTGTGAAGTCCAGACCCAGTCACCCACACCCGTGACCCGCCACGGCCGTGCCGACAGCTTGGGGTGCTGGCTGTGCTCTGGCGGGGACGTGGCACTGGGGGCCTTGACATGCAGCCCTGGGCCCCTTCCCGGATGAAGGAGTGATCGCAGAGGCTGCAGCTCCACAGAGCCAGTGGCTGGGTGAGCCCGCCTGGGCCGGAGGAGGGGCCCGGGAGGGGGGAGGTGGCACCAAGCCTGGGCTCTGGAGTCCTGTCTGCACGAAGCCCCTCAGCCCTCGGGCCCCTCCGCGCCCTCCACACCTGCTGGCCCCGGGGGGCCCCTCCAGAGGCGTCTTACTAAGGGCATTTCCAGTGGAGCTCAAGGCCACGGTCAAGGAGAAGGGCCTGGCTGGGCTTCTCTAGCATCCAACTGCTCCCAAGGACAAGGGCTTTCAAACCTGACATCTTAATGCCTCTCAGGAAGGCGCCAACCTCAGCGCGGGTGCGCGCTCCCACCCTCTGCCTGAGAGCCCCGGACTGACACGGAGGAACACACCCTCAGGTGACAGGGATCACAGCCACGCTGCGGGGCTGTAGCTGCAGGCGATGGCTGTGAGGGGTGTGAGGGGTGTAGGGTTATGGCTGTGAGGGGGGTGTGAGGGGTGTAGGGTTATGGCTGTGAGGGGGGTGTGAGGGGTGTAGGGTTATGGCTGTGAGGGGGGTGTGAGGGGTGTAGGGTTATGGCTGTGAGGGGGGTGTGAGGGGTGTAGGGTTATGGCTGTGAGGGGGGTGTGAGGGGTGTAGGGTTATGGCTGTGAGGGGGGTGTGAGGGGTGTAGGGTTATGGCTGTGAGGGGGGTGTGAGGGGTGTAGGGTTATGGCTGTGAGGGGGGTGTGAGGGGTGTAGGGTTATGGCTGTGAGGGGGGTGTGAGGGGTGTAGGGTTATGGCTGTGAGGGGGGTGTGAGGGGTGTAGGGTTATGGCTGTGAGGGGGGTGTGAGGGGTGTAGGGTTATGGCTGTGAGGGGGGTGTGAGGGGTGTAGGGTTATGGCTGTGAGGGGGGTGTGAGGGGTGTAGGGTTATGGCTGTGAGGGGGGTGTGAGGGGTGTAGGGTTATGGCTGTGAGGGGGGTGTGAGGGGTGTAGGGTTATGGCTGTGAGGGGGGTGTGAGGGGTGTAGGGTTATGGCTGTGAGGGGGGTGTGAGGGGTGTAGGGTTATGGCTGTGAGGGGGGTGTGAGGGGTGTAGGGTTATGGCTGTGAGGGGGGTGTGAGGGGTGTAGGGTTATGGCTGTGAGGGGGGTGTGAGGGGTGTAGGGTTATGGCTGTGAGGGGGGTGTGAGGGGTGTAGGGTTATGGCTGTGAGGGGGGTGTGAGGGGTGTAGGGTTATGGCTGTGAGGGGGGTGTGAGGGGTGTAGGGTTATGGCTGTGAGGGGGGTGTGAGGGGTGTAGGGTTATGGCTGTGAGGGGGGTGTGAGGGGTGTAGGGTTATGGCTGTGAGGGGGGTGTGAGGGGTGTAGGGTTATGGCTGTGAGGGGGGTGTGAGGGGTGTAGGGTTATGGCTGTGAGGGGGGTGTGAGGGGTGTAGGGTTATGGCTGTGAGGGGGGTGTGAGGGGTGTAGGGTTATGGCTGTGAGGGGGGTGTGAGGGTGTAGGGTTATGGCTGTAAGGGGGGTGTGGGGTGTAGGGTTATGGCTGTAAGGGGGGTTGTGGGGTGTAGGGTTATGGCTGTAAGGGGGGACCTTCACAGGGAGCTGGACAGCTGAGCAGGAGAAACTCTGGGTTAAAATCCGGGCCCAGTGACCACTATGAGTTCTGCTTCTGCTTTTCTCTTAGATGTTTCCAAAGAGGAGACTACCCCCCGCCCCCTCCATCTCTGCGGTGCCTCCTGCAGGCCTCCCGCAGGTCAAGGCAGAGGTCGGGGACCCAGGGCCCCCCCCCCCCCCCCCCCCCTGCTGGCGCTGCCTGTTGTGAGGACCCTGATACGACTGAGCCTTCATCCCAGCGGGGACAGAGATGGAGGGAGCCGGGGAGCCTGCCAGGACCACGGTGCTGCCCCTGCCCCCCAGGGGTCCTCCCTGACTCCTAGGGGCCCGGCTCTCAGTCTGCAAACTGGGGTTCAGCCCCAGACTGACACGGAGGAACACTCTCAGGTGACAGGGATCACAGTCACCCGCTGTCAATCCCTCAGAGAAAGCTCTGACGAGTGGACTAGAAACGGACATTATATTCACTAAAAAACGTGCAAGTTTAAAAAGTACACATACCCTCTGCTTCGTCCAAATTAATTTTCTGATATTTTTTTTTCCCAATCTTTGCAATAGATTCTTCTCTCTTTGAAAGCCGGGGATCCCTAGCATTTTTTCCATTTTCTCCTTTTATTTTAATAGAATTAGACTTGCCTAGTGTTCTCTCCTCTCCCTGCATCAGAAGGAAAGTCAAAGTTCTACTCACAGTTCAGACACGACAGCACAATTCCCAGTGACAGGCGGGGCTTTGGAACGGGAGCCATGACAAGGGTTCAAACCGCAGAGCATGTCGGGCTCTGTCCCCACCACAGGGCAGTGAGCTGGCGAGCAGGCCCCGGGAGCAGCCCCAGAGGGGGCGAACGGACACCGAGAGGGGCTGCCAGCCCGACCAGAGCGTGGTGGGCCCCAGGGGGCAGCGCATGGCTCTCTGGGAGCATATGGCCGGCATGCGGGGAGCGGGGCGCCCTGCGGGCCAGGCGGGGGATTACCGTAGCCGAGAAATTTCTGGAGCTGGAGTTGACGGCTGTGGTCTGTTTGAGCGGCGTTCCTCTCTGTTTATCTGTGGGGAAGGAACAGAGAGCCGAGCTTTGCAGTCACAGTGCGCACTGAAGCAGCATCACGTCTACAGGATCTTTGAGAGCAAAGCGGGAGAAGACAAAGGAGTGACCTGTCCCTTCTCCAGTCTGCACATAAAGGCCAAACGCCCGGGGCAGGACGTGCTGTGTGTGTGTGTATCTGTGTGTGTGTGTGTGTGTGTGTGTGTGTGTGTAGAGGGCCACAGGCGGCTGGACCCCATGTGCTGGGATGTTTGGAGGAGAGGCGATTAAAGAGCTTATTTCGTGGACTATTTGGCATGAATATTCTCTAGAAAAGTAGGGAGTCACCTATTTTCTATTAGAACCGCTGCTAAGTCAGGGCTGTGGTCTGGCCTCCAATGGCCGACCCAGCCTCAAGTCCACTTCTCTGGCCCCCCTGGGCAGCAGGAAGGGCCACCCCGCTTCCCTGCAGCTGCTCAGACAGCCTGCCCCGGCCCGCAGCTCACCTGCGCCCCAG